ACATACAAAGGTGGAAAACCCCAAAATGAGCAAATCAAGGGGGTGAGTTTGTATTTGGAGGCACTAAGTGGCTTCGCTTTTCTTTTGGCAGTATTTGGAGCATGCTGGTTTTCGCTGCAGGTGGTAACAATATGCCCTTAATGCAAGAATAAGCAACCAAAAGGGGCTTTCCATGACTTTTTGCACTGTTTTACAGTTAACATCTCCCAAATACCCTTTTCTAGCAAGCTGGAGTGTGAAAGCTGTCCCACAGGTAGGGTTGCGATCAGCAGTCACTTGACATGCAGAATTGCAAACCCATCCCATTTTGGGGGGATGCAAATGTAGGTAGATGGGAGGAACTTGGAGGACACAAGCAAGGGCACTGCTGTCCCAACAGCAGGGCAAGGGTGAAAAGCTTAACCCTAACCCTTTTTCCTGCATAATTTGGCCAAACCCCACTCAGAATCTGATTGCAAAGAGCTTCATGATGGTCTCCAGGAGGGAAGGAAATTCCCAAGGTAGGCAGCAACACAGAAAATAACAACTCCAAGCAACCTGGGGAAAACATGACCCAGGGCATAGAGCAGCAACTGGATGGGACTTTCCAGCCTGGTTTTTTAAAACGGGAAATGTTGGATTTATTGCATTCAGGACAAGAGCATCGCTGTTTTGGGCCCACTGAAGGTTGCCGGTTTGCTTACAGGGATGTCATTTTGCTGCCCATCTCTCTTTTTTTCTAGCACCCCTACCCCACAGAGGACGAGAAGAGGCAAATTGCTGCTCAAACCAACCTGACCCTCTTGCAAGTCAACAACTGGTGAGTGCATCAGTGGCCCATGCAGTCATCTTGCCGGCTTTAGAAATGTTTTTCATGCTCTTTTGGTGCTATATAGTGATTTTCTGGGAGTAACTTGGGTAATCAGGGACCATTTCTAGGGGTTGAGCTGGGGTGTGTTTAATTGGCGGCGTTTCGTTTGCGATGTTTTAGTGCCCTCTGCTGGCAAACCCCATGTGTAGCAGCCTTCAACTCAGCTGGAGAAATTAATGTGATGGTTTGTGTTGGAAGGGACCTTCAAATGGAACGGTTTGTGTTGGAAGGGACCTTCAAAACTCATCGAGTTCCAACCCCCTGCCACGGGCAGGGACACCTTCCACTAGAGCAGCTTGCTCCAAGCCCCTGTGTCCAACCTGGCCTTGAACACTGCCAGGGATGGGGCAGCCACAGATTCTCTGGGCACCCTGTGCCAGTGTCCCACCACTCTCATCATCAAACATTCCACAGACAGATAAAATAGGGTAACCCGCCGGCTGTTTGGTTTTATATTGTGATTCACTGAATTGTTATAAAGCCTGTTGTTCTAACTCAGAATTGATGTAACATTACTCCAATGGTCTCTCTTTTCCCCGGAAAGGTTCATCAACGCCCGGCGGCGCATCCTGCAGCCAATGCTCGACGCCAGCAACCCAGACCCTGCCCCCAAAGCAAAGAAAATCAAATCTCAGCATCGGCCCACCCAGCGGTTCTGGCCCAACTCCATCGCTGCTGGGGTCCTGCAGCAGCAGAGTGGCAATGCGGGGACAAATCCTGATGGTAAGGACAAGCCCTGGTGGCCCCTGCTCTTCCTGGATGGGGTGGCCATGTATTCAGTTATGGCCTTAATTGGGAATTAAGGTCTTCTAGAGCCATTTTTATCCCCTGTGGGGAAAAATATGTTGAAGAAGTGGTGAAGGCAAGAAGATCCTTCCAGCTGGCTATCATGAGGGCACTAGAAATGGGGCACTGCCATCTCCTCAGCATAGGAACACTCCTCAATGATCAGCCCCTGCGGGATACATTTGGGATACCTCCTGAGGGGAGAAGGGAAAGGGGAAGATGGGAAGAGGAGAGGAGACAAAATGGAAAAAAGGGTTATAAGATGGCGATGAGAAAACAGATGAGACAAGATAGGAAGGAAGAAGATGAATGTGAACAGAGAACAGATAATGAAACTGAAGAGTAGAGAAGATGGAGATAAGAAGACAGATGAGACAAGATAGGAAGACAGAAGATGGAGGAAAGATGAAGAACAGGTGACGAAGATGAAGAGGAGCAGAGAAGATGGCAATGAGAAGACAAATGAGACAAGAAGGGAGGAGAAAAGATAAACAGAGAACAGATGATGAAGATGGAGTAGAGAAGATGAAGAGAGGGTAAATGAGTATGGACCAGACAAGATGAGAACAGAGAAGTTGAAGAGAAGGGATGGTGGAAACTGAGAGAAGACAGAGATCTGCCCAACCAATTTGGGCATCTACTTGCTCAAAAATGATCATTTCTTGTTATTTAATGAAGATACATTAAAAACATTGAGGGTTGGACCTTGCGCAGTGACTGGGACATGTGGGACACCCTACAGGGTGCTCTGTCTAGATACAGCTTTCAGCTTGGCTTGTTCTTGGTTCTTGCACTTTGTTGTCATTTTTATATTACTTGGGGAGTCCTTATTTCTATGTATTTGTGTGATTTCAGGCTCGCTCAGCATGGACAACCTGCAGCCCCTCTCCTCAGCGACAGCCACCATGGCCATGCAGCAGGCCATGCTGGCAGCCCATGACGACTCCCTTGATGGCACCGAGGAAGAAGAGGAGGATGAGGAGGATGAGGACGAGATGGAGGAAGAGGAAGAAGAAGAGGAAGAGCTGGAAGAAGAGCCTGGTGGCCTCCCAGCAGCACCGGGCGCCGACCTCGGCTTGGACCGCAGTGACTCCTTGGAATAGCTCCTCCTGCACCATCCCCAAATCATTGACAGCACCAGAAACAAAATTCCCCCAGAAATGCCAAAAAAAAAAACCAACCCCTGGCAAGAACAAAAACAAAATTGGTGAGAAAAAAAGCAAATTGGAGGCACTGGTGGCTGCCCTGGCTGCCCACAGGAGCACAGGGACCAGCACGTCAGCGTGTGGATGTGAAGGACACATGTTTACAAGGCACATATTGTGGCCGGATTTATTTTTCTTTTTCAGGCTTTTTTCTTATTTTTCCCTTTTCCCCTTCATTTTTGGTAAGAAAAAGCATTTTTAGGGGATGCTGTTTTCCCCACGCGATGCTCCAATGCTGTTGGGTGACAGTGGGCTTTCACCATGGGCCACTGCGTCCATCACTTGGATTCCTTGGTGCAAAAAAATCCAAATCCCAATAAACAACCCCAGGACTGATGCTTTTTGGGATTTTCCCCCAAAAAGAGGATTCACAGGCGTAAGTATCAGCACACGGGGAGAAAGAAACAGCGAGTGCAAGTTCTGCTTCAGGTTGGATCTGAGGAGGGTTTTGGTGCTCTTGACCCACCAGACTGCCCAAATCTCCCTGTTTTATCCCCAGTGCTGTGGCCGTTTGGTGACTCTGGACACAACTTTCTGGAAAAGGGAGGATATTCCCCCAAATCCTTTTATTTATGTGCTAAAACACCCACTGAATCTGGAGAAGAACCACCCCATTCTCATCCTGAAGGGCTGAGACTGGATGCAGAGTTGGGGCAAAGGCTGCCGGGAATGAGACTTTCCCACTGGCACCGAGGCAGGAAAAAATGGGTTTTCACCCAGAATTGAATGGTGACCCCCGAGAGTCACCAAGACGGAAGGAAACTCAATCATGTTGCTGAAAGATGGTTTCTCCCTGACATTGTCCACCCATGTGGGAAAATGGTGGAGTTTTAGCCCAAACAAGCCACAGGAGAGGGTGGCTCAGCAAAAAAAAAGAAAACAAAAAATCAATGTATTTTGGGTTTCTGTAATTTCATAAAGGATTCATTGTAATTTAGTATTAATTCATGGCCATTTATTATAAAGTGCTACGAGATGAGGTTTTGCAGCTGTATTTTGTTGGCAGCTTCCTCCTGTGGCTGGAAAAGCCCCAAAAGTCCCCTCAAATAAGTGAAACGGCCCCAAAAAGAGGGATGCTCACCCTGAAATGAATATTATTGTTCAAAAAGGAGGGCTTCTCCCCCAAAATGAATGATGCTTACCTCAAAATGAGTAATTCTGACCCTAAAATGGGTGATGCTTATCCCAAAATGTTTTTTTTTGTCCAAAAATGAGGAATCCCCCCCAAAATGAGTGATGCTTATTTCAGAATGTTATGATTTCCAAAAATGAGTGATGCTCCCCAAAAAGAAATGATGGTACGCAAACAGGGGCAACGCATCCCCGAAATAAGTGATTCTCCTCCAAAATGAGTGATGCTCACACTGAAATATCTTTTCCAAAAAAGAGGGATTCTCCCCCAGAATGAGTGATGCTTCCCCAAAAGGAGTGACCCTCCCCAAAACAGGTAATGCTGCCCCCAAATCTGTTATTGTCCCTAAAAATGAGGGAAGGTCCCCCAAATTAAGTGTTTCCCCCCAAAAAAGTACTATTTCCCCAAATGAACTACATTCCTCCAAAATTGATTTTTTTTGAGCAGTGCCCCCAAAATGATTGATCTTCATGAAAGCACCATGCTCCCATAAATGTTTCCCCCAATGAACAATTCTCGCCCCAAATGAGCAACAGTCCCCCAAAGTGATTTCCCCCCAAAACGCCTGAATTTGTCCCCAAAAAGGATTACCCTCTCCAAAAATGAGCAAAGCTCCCCAAATGAGTGACAAACCCCCAGACTGAGCAATTATCCCCCTCCCCGCCATGGAAGCCCCCTCATTCCTTAAGGAGCCACTGCTAATTAACCAGTTGATTTTTCTGGGAATAAAAACGGCAATTTTGGTACAATTTAGGGCTGAAAGTTAAAAATGGGTAAAAAAATCCCCTCAAAATGGGATTTTGAGGTGAATTTTGCCCCTCAGATCGCTGTTGCTGCTGGCTCTGAGCCCCCAGCATCTCATTAGCCAGAAATTTGCATATCTTATAATATCCTGAATATTCATGAGCACTGCAGCAAAGCCCTCGTTGGTCTTTTTCCACCCCCAAAAAGGGCTTTTTTTCCCCCCATCAAAAAGCAGCAGAACGACGTCCCGAGCGGGGGGATGGAGACACCGGAGGCCGGGTGCTTAATTAATGAAACGAATTATTTATTTCCCAGTTGTGCAAAGGTGGGGGCAGTGCAGGGGGTGGGGGGGTGGGGGCTGCAGGTGACCCATTTTCCTCGGGTTTAGCCCCATTGTCAGGGGGTGCCGGGGTTGAGGGAGCTCAAGGGCAGCGCGGCATCAGGTTGGGCAGAGCACTGCAACGAGAGATGCACACACAGGGGCTGCACAGGAGCTGCATGAAGGCTGCAGGGGGAGTGCACAGGAGATGGAGGAGGCGAGCAGATACCTTTGAGGATGTAATCCGTGAGCAGTGTGGGCACCTTCTCATTCCCTTCCTTCATGGCAAACAGGACTGTGAGCAGGAACAGAGCTGTGAGCCCATCCCCACTGCCCCCAAATCTCCATTTTCTCCCTCAAACCAGCCCCAAAGTCACCACAGAGACACCTGCAGAGTTTCATTGCTGCACTGCAACGATGCACCCATATCGCAGCCACTGCAGTGATGCAGAATGGTGCTTCTCAAATCCACCACGCTGTGCTGATGCTAAATCATAGAATCCCAGACTGGTTTGGGATCTAAAGGAATGGATCTAAAAGCTCATCCAGTTCCAACCCCCTGCCATGGACAGAGACACCTTCCACTTGTCCTATCACTACCATCCCTGATGAAGAGTCCCTCTCCAGCATCCTTGTAGCTCCTTTAGGCACTGGGAGATGCTCTAAGGTCTCCCTGGAGCCTTCTCTTGTCCAGGCTGAACAGCCCCAACTTTCTCAGCCTGTCTCCATATGGGATGTGCTCTAGCACCGATTCTGCCCCAAAACAGAAGCTTGGAAAAATACTCACTGTTAGTGAGCATCTGCAGGTCCTCGACAGAGGGTGGCGACCCCTTCTTCTCATAGGGAATCACTGTGTTCAGGTACTGGAAAGACAACACCCAAACACACCAAAAAGCACCAGGTGGCACAAAACTGCCTGGTTTTCACACCGCCTTGGGACAAATGGCCCCAGACTGGTGCTCAAGCACATTGTGCTGCAATTGTCCTGTGACTGTGTTTGATGGGCAGGAATTCTGGGGAGTACTGAATGGATTTCATGCTGCAGAACCTGCCCAAATGCAAACTCCTGCTCTGGGAGGATTTCTTGTGAGGTGATGCGGGGAATGGGGGTGTGTATGGAAGGGGGGCAGATACAGGCAATTTTGAGGGGGAAAGGGCACCTGTTTCTCATTGGCGGTGGGGCCAAAGGTCTGGCGCAGGCTGGAGTGCAGGATGCTGGAGATGCCCTCCATGCTGAAGCGCTGGGGACACATGTCACCCCGTCACCTCCCGGGGACACGGACATTACCCATTGCACCCCCCTTCACACCAGCTTCCCCCCAGCTCCTGACTCCCACCTGCAGCCCCCATTCCCTGTCCCCATCTCCTTCTGTCCTCATGTCCCTTTGCCTCATCCCCCCTCTTCTCCACATCACCCCATCCTATGTCCCTGTCACATCCCTCCGTCCCTCATTCCCTGCCTCATGTCTCCCTCTCCCATGTCCCTCTGCCCTATCCCATCACCCATTCCCTGTCCCGTGTCCCCCCATCCTCAACCCCTGCCCCATCCCCTGTCCCTGCATCCTTTCATCCCACGCCCCTTCATCCTTCAACCCCCCCAAGCCCATCTCGCCCTGCCCCATCCCCTGTGCCCACATTCCCCATGCCTCCCTCCCTCCATCTCCCCTCCCATCATCCCAAATCCCCCCCATCCCCTGTCCCCACGGCCGCAGCATCCCCACCTTCCGGGGCATGTTGTTCCCACGCTCGGGACGCCCTCCCTGCAGGCTCAGGCCCCTGTCGCGCCGGCGGCGGCGGGCGGCCTCGCGCTGCTCTCGCTGCTCGCCCTGCACGGCCAGCAGCGCCCCGATGAACGCCGTCTTCACCTCCTTCTCGAAGGCCAGCTCATCCCGACGTGCCAGCTGGGCCACCAGCTCTGCCGACAGCGCCCGGCTCGCTGCCTCTGCCCGCCCCGCCGCAGCCACCAGCTCCCGCGCCGACAGCCGGCCCAGCACTGACAACAGGGAGGTTAATGGGGTGCCCAGTGCAATTGGTGAAACACTTGGGGGTGCAACTGCAATGCACAGTGCAATAAACCACAGAATCACGGAACGGTTTGGGATGGAAAAGACCTTCAAAGCTCATCCACCTCCAACCCCCTGCCATGGGCAGGGACATCCTTCCGCTAGAGCAGGGTGCTCCAAGCCCTGTCCAACCTGGCCTTGAACACTGCCAGGGATGGGGCAGCCACGACTATTCCTGAAGCAAATACCAGTCACATGCCTTGTGCAGTGATGAGCATGGTGCAATTAGGGAATTACGCACTGAAGTGCGCAAAATGCTTCGTGCAGCTAGTCCTGTTCTCGAGATGCGCAGGGTGACCAATGCCACCGGTGAGGCACCAGTGCAGCCAGTGCTTCACCTGCCAACAGCCCCCTTCTGGCCAAACAGTGTGTCAGCCCTGGAGCGAGCCAGCCCTGAAGCCTGGAGAGGCTCAGTTGTCCAATTTGGTGGAAATTACCCCCCAAAAGTGACTGGCCAGGGTTTTGCTGGCCTTACCTTCGTGAGAGCAGTTGTTGTTGAAGGCAGGGGAGAAAGCATGCAGCTCCCGCAGAACGATGGGCTCCGTGCTCCCACCACTGCCTTTGCCTTTAGCATCAGACTCAGTTTCCTCTTCCTCTTCCTCGTCCTCCTCTTCCTCCTCCCCCTCAGGATCAGCCTCGGGGTCAGGTGAACTCTGCATCAGCTCTTCCAGCTCCTCGATGACCTTCAGGGCATCAGTGTCCTCCATTCGCACCTGCATTCTACCTCCATCCTGCACCTACACCTTGCAGCCCACAGCTACATCCTGCATCTGTGTCCTGCACCCACATCTCCAACCTGCTCCCTTCATCCTACACCTGCATCCTCCATCTTTACCAGCATCCCTCATCCTCCATCTGTATCCTCCATCTGCATCCTGCACCTGCATTTGCATCCCTCTATACCCTGCACCCTCCATTTGCATCCTCATCTGCATCCCACATTCCCATTCCCAGCCATAGCCCACAGCTACAGCCTCTCACGTGCACTCACACCCTGGCCCTGCACCTACATCTAACTCTGCAACCCACACCTGCACCTGCATCCCTCCAACCTGCCTCCTCCACCTGCATCTGGTACCTACACTGCGCATCAGACATCCACACCCTGCCTCTGCACCAGCATCCTGTAGCTGCATCTGACCTCTGCACCCCATTTTTGTACTTCAACTCATGCCACCCATTTGCACCCCCACCCCCTGTTCCCATCTGCACCCAACTCCCACATCAGCACCCACAGCCTACCCCTCCAGCTACATTCAGACCTGCATTCCATGCTCTGCATCCCGAAATAATTGGATTTGGCCTTTTTTTTTTTGCACTGCCATGGGGCTGGGGTGGGCTGGGGGCTCAAGCCTGGCTTTTGGGAGACACCCATGGGAACCAGGGGTACCTGCTCAGCTGTCAGCAGCGGCTCCTCGTTGATGCCCGAGTCCTGCTCACTCCTCTCAGTGAGCTCCTCCTCCTCCTCCTCCTTCTCGCAGAGCTGCAGGAGACACAGGCTGGGAGGTCCTGGTGGCACCGCAGGCCTGGCCCGGCACAGGCATGGCCCCAGCATGGACACAGACATGGCCCTGGCCCTGGCACAGGGAGAGCCACCAGCGAACCACAGCTCAGGGGGACATGCTGCATGGGGAGACACTGGGTGGAGACATCAGATGAGGGTGACGACAGGGAAGATGTTGGATGAGATGTTGCATGGAGACATCAGATGGGGACGATGCACAGGGAGACACTGCATGGGGAGATGCTGGATGAAGGCGTTGGGTGGAGATGTTGGATGGGGAAATGTTGGATAGAGGCGTTGGATGGGGATGCTGGATGGAGACACTGGAGAGAAAGACAAGCAGGGAAGTATTGGATGGGTAGGCATTGTAAGGAGACGGATAGAGATGCTTGATGGGAAGACACTGGATGGAGAGTTGGACTGGGAAGCTGGACAGGGAGAAGTACAAGTATGGTAGATAGAGATGCTGGACGAAGATGTTGGATGGAGAGATGTTTTCATTAATATATTGCACAGTGAGACTGGATGGGGAGGTGTTGGAGACACTGGATAGAAATGCTGGAGATGTTGGATGGGGAGACAATAGATGGTGAAGCTGAATGGGGAAGAGGTCAGATGTGAGATATTGGATGGGGACATTAGATGGGGAGATGTCAGAGGGGAATGCTGGATGGGGAGGTAATAGATGAAGATGCTGGACGCAGATGTTGGACAGGGAGGCATCTTCTTTTTTACCACATTTCACACTCTGCTTCACCTTTTTGGCAAAAAATAACCCCAAATATTCACCTTCTCTCCCCCTCCTTTAGCAATAGGTTCTGTACCATCCAAATGGGTTAAATTCAGTGGATTTGGGGGCACCGCTGCAGCCCTCCCACACCCACAAACACAGCTATTCACAGGAAAAACTCACTGCAGCAAAGAAAATACTATTTTCTAGCCAAAAAAATACACCATCTCACCCCTGAGACGAGATTGCCAAACCAAAGCTGTAATACTGCCCATTTCAGTGTGATTTTACCCTAAAACATGGACATTCACTACACGGTTGCTGCAGCACCCCAAAAATACCATTTCTGGGTAGTATGCAGAGCCCTGGGGCTGACTGACAGCTGTCAAGCATCACCAGGCCATGCTTAACAAGGGGTCATGTGGGGACAGGGGGGTTTGGGGAGCCAAGGGGGGGATGCAGAGCAGTACCTGGTGGTCGGTGCCATCAGAGGCCTCAGCCCCGGGGAGCAGCCAGGGCCGGGGGGAGCTCCGGGGGGCGAAACCATCGGTGAGAGCATCCCAGACCCTGCAGGGAGGCGGGTGGTGAGCAGTGATCCCCAAATGCCTCAAAACACCACAAGATGCACCCCTGGAAACACCCTGAAATGCTTCCCCTGCGCCCCAAAACCCCCAAATCCCACCGAGATGCCCCAAACATCCCAAATACTGCCCTAGAAGACCCAAAAGCTCCCCAAAATATCATGAAACACTGCCCTGAAATCCCCCAAAGTACCCTGAAATGCTGCCCCAGCACTTGAGATGATTTGATAATACTGAAACATTGCCATCAAAATACCACCCCAAAAGGCCACTCTTATGTCTCAAAATGTCTCCAGATGCCCAAAAATGCCTTAAATGCCCCAAATTCCACCCCAATACATCACCAGGATGCCCTGAAATGCTCCAAAACATCCTGAAATTCTCGAAAAGACTGAGAAACACCCAAAATGCCATCCTAAAACACTGCCTCAAAGCTCCAAGACCCTCTGAAAGGCCCCAGACCCCTTCAAAACACTGCTCTGGAACACCCCAAAATGCCCCAAAACATTCTTCTGAAACACCCCAAAATGCCAAAAAGATCCCAAAGCTCCGGAATGCCCTGAAATGCCATCACGGAACACCCAAAAATACCCCCCAAAAGCAGAACACACCAGCATGCCATCCTGAAATGCTCCAAACCACCCCAAAATACCACTGGGAAAGCCCCCAGAATGCTGTCCTGAAACATTGCCCACAAGCACCCTAAGATGCCTCATAAAGCTGCCCTAATACCCCAAAGAAACCCCCCAAAAAGCCACTGTGATGCTCCAGAACATCCCCCCAAATTGTTCAGCGCCCCAAAATGCTTTTGTGGCTCCCCAAAATGCTGCCCTGCAATAGGGGGAAAAGTGGGAGAAGGGAAAATGGGATAAAAGAGGAGAAATGGGAGAAAAAATGAGAAAGGGGGGGAAAGAAGGGAAAAGGGGGAAAATGGGAGAGAAGAAGAAAAGGGGAGAAAGGGAAAAAAGGGAAAATAGGGAACGGGGGAAGAGGGAAAAGGACCAAAAGAGGAGGAAAAGGAAAAAAAAAATGTAAGGAAAATGGGGGAAAGGGGAGAGAAGCCCAAAAATGGGAGAAAAGGCTCAAAAAGAGATGAGAAAATGTCTCCCTGTTACAGGAAATGCACCCATTTTCCCCCCACAAATGGCTTTTTCAGTTCAACCCAGCATCACATCCCTGTGCACTCCGATCCCCTCTAAAACCCCCCAAACTGCCTGCCCCCCCCAACTGCTCATTTTGGGGTATTTCTCTCATTTCCCTTCTCACCTGATCTTAATCCCCCCGAAATGCCATATTTCCCAAATGAACACTAAACCCCCAATATTCCCATTTTACACAAACCTGCAGCAAATAAGGAAAACAATAAATGATCATCCCCCCAAATTTGCTTCCCCCTCCACCCCCTGCTCTTAAAGGGCCAGTACTCCATAGGGTCACCAAGCAGATTTCTGGGTTAAATATGGCAAGAAATGGTTAATAATGAGGGAAATAAAACGCCTTTAAGGGGCCAGCCCATCCCCCGCTGCGTACACAGTGCTCATTCAAGAAGGAAAGAAAAAAAACCACTCTGTTTTTGCCCAAAGTGACCCAAAAAGACACAATGAGCAGCACAAAGCGGTGCAGCCGGCGACAGCGCGGCAGTCCCTGCATGGAGCCAAAACGCATTTTTCCCCTAAAAACCATCAATTCAGTCAAGTACCAAAATCAATTTGGTTTCAGCAGGTTTTGATGAATAAAAAACCCACGAAAATAAGGACATTTGGGAGTTTTGGGGGTTGAAAACAAGCATTTTGCATGGTGAAAAATGAGTGTTAGGGATTGCTGCCTGGGGGAATAATGCCACTTAAACACACAAATATCCACCAGAAAGAGGTTAATATACAAACATCGCTGAAAAAAAACCACCCAAATTTGGCTAAAAATGGCATTTTGCAACAAAAATTGTGTTTCTTTTAAAAAAATCTAGGGTTTAATGCAAGTGCCGCTATACTGGGGGGAATTTGCCCCAAAATGGCTGCCCACTGGCGTGGTGCAGAGATTGCATGTTGCAAACAGGAGGGTAAGCCCTACTCATACATTACTCCAGGTTTACACTCACCCTACCCCCAGGGGTTCTCCTCACATAGACTGAGCCTTCCATAATCCCCTGCAATGTGACACAGAACATCCCACTGTACCTCCTCATAGGATGCTACATAGCAACTCCAAGCATCCTACACAGCTACTCTCAAGGTGCAGCATCACCACGTCACAGTGGAGGGGGCTGATCTGCATGTAGAGGAGACCTTGCAAGCATGAAATGGGGTGCAATAAGCCTCACAGGGGCTCATAGGAGAATCGCCTACTCATAGGATCCTACACAGCTACTCACAGGATATTACACAGCTATTCCATACTGCTGCATGACCACATTGCGATGCAGGGGTCTGAGTTGCATGTGGCGTGTGCCTTGCTAGTGTGCAAGGTGGCATGCAGACCCCACGGGAGCCCTTACTCATAAGATTCTTGCAGTGCAAGAGCTGGTCAGGGAAGTCTCGCAAGGAGGCACGCAGGCTGTGAGGGGGCCAACTCATGGGTTACTACACCTCTGTTTTGACACATCGCATGACCACGCTGCCATGCAGGGAGCCAGCTTGCACAGGGTAGGATTCTGCAGGTGAGCAACGAGGCCCGCACCCCCAGAAGGAAGGGGGCCTTACTCACTCCTCGTCCTGGAGGCGCTCCTCCTCCTCCTGTGCCTGGAGATGGCTCCGCACAGGGGCCAGCCCCTCGGTGGCAGCATCGTAGTTGCGGAAGCAGACGGTGAGCTTCTCGTCGAATTCCTGCACCAGGTCCTCCATGGACTTGAAGCTCATCATCTCAGCCGAGAAGCTCTCCAGCTCGGCCAGAGCCGGGTCTGCAGTGCGTTGTGGGGTCCCCCCATCAACCCCGGGCCCCTCCTCAAACTCCTCCTCCAGGCTTACAAGAGGCGCCTCCATCCTCCTCCACACCGATGTGCCGCCTTAGCTGCAGAGAGAGGGTGCCCATGAGGCTACTCACAGGTTACAACATCAGGGCTCCCCATTGCCTTTGCTGACGCTGTACTGGCTGAAACCCTACTGCCAGGGCTATTACACAACCAACAATATCTCTGCAGTATCCTATTAGCATCCCAACAGCATCTTATTACTGTCTTCATAGAAATATACTGATATCCTGACACTACACTAGTAGTCTTTACTAACAGCAACAAAGCACTGATAGTGGCCCAAGTAGCTTAGTGCTATGCTTATAGTATGTAGAAAGTATAACACTACCTTTTTTACTGAACTGGTAGTAAGTCAGTGGTACCCTTATATGACTACTGTATTGGTAGTGGCCTGAAAGTATCATACTAGTATGAGTAATATGCTGACAATACCCCAAAATGTCAGTGTTACCTTGATAGCATCCTAGTGGTATCTTACCACTATCTTTAGTGGTGCCTTTGTAGTATCTCAGATATTCTGCCAGCATACCCTGATAACATCTTAGCAGAGTCCTGACGGTACCTTTGCGCTGCACTGAGAGTATCCTAGTAGGAGCCACTGAATAGCACAGCATTGCCCTGATGTTGTACTAGCACAGGTAAGAATATCCTGATACTATGACATGATCACCCCAATAGCACCCTAATTACATCCTAACAGTGCCCTGATAGTATCACAGCAGTATATGAGGAGTGTCCTGATAGGATCCTAAAAGTGATGAAATGGTATATAGCTATCATCTTTATAGTGTCCTGATAGTATCTTGGTAGTGCAATGTAATATCACTAAGATATTATCTTAGTGCCCTCTTACTACGCTGAAAGCAACTTGACTGTATCTGTTTGTAGTATCCTGAGAGTATCCTGATGGTGTGTTACAACTACTCCAGTGATGCCTTCATAACACTATCTCAGCATTAACCCTGGAAAGATGCTGGAAATAAATTATCATCCCGGCAGTGATCTGATAGTACCTTAGCAGCATTTTTTAACTATTCCAGTATCATCCACATAGCACCCACAGTATATCTTAGGGCCACTCTGAAAGTGCCTTAGTAACTATCTGCAGAGTATCCTGTCAGCATTTGAGTACACTCCTGAGAGCATCTTAGCAGCATCCCAGCTGTGTCTTGAGAGTGTTTTACTCCTCCTTCACAAGATTACTGAGAGTATTGGGGTAGTATCTTAATATCAGTAGCCCCATAGGAAGCAAATATAACCTTGTAGCAAGCCAGGAATAGGCCAGTAAAGGTGCCACTACCCCAACCCAGCCCTGTCATGCTTCCCCTGGGGAGGAGAGCAGAAACACAGCAGCTTTTTGGGGAAAACCTGGCCAGATTGGGACTTTGAGTCCATGTGCAGCATGTCTGCACACCCACTGTGCACACTTGCATCCCCCCCACGTGTGTGTGTGTGTGTGAACCTCCACAGGTCTGCAGCACGACCTCTGTGCACACACCCCACACACGTGTCCAGGGTGCATGAACACCCACGTATGTGCGTGTGTGCACTTCCAGGTGAACATGCGCACTGTGCACAGAACAGTTCACGTGTGTGAGCAGCGCACACGCAGTTGTGCATGTTCACACGCGTGCACGGGGGTGTGCAGATGAAGATGTGTGTGCTCGAGTGGTGCATGCATCTTAGGGAGCACACAGCACATGCATGTACCCCCCCCACATGTCCCTGAGGATGCACCCACCCAGCACGTGTGTGCATCCCACACACGTACGCCACGCCTGCACCATGCACTCCAACATGCCTGCACCGCTGCACTTCCATGCCCCCCATACACTCTCCATATAACCCCCCTCCAAACACCCAAAAATGCCCCAAAGCACCATCCTCTGCCCCCTGCCCCCTCCCCTGCTGCAGCGCGTGCGCATCCCACAATGCACCATCCTTGCACGGATGCTGATGTGCAGCATCCCCCCAAACACAGTCACCCCATGAACACAACATTGCCCCCCCCCAAGCATCCAGCAAACACAAGCATCCCCTCAACACAAGCAGCTCTCCAAATACAAGCATCCCCCCCAACACAAGCATCTTCCAAACACAAGCATCCCAACACAAGCATCCCTCAACACAAGCATCCCCCCAACACAAGCATCCTCCAAACACAAGCATCCACAAGCACACCCCAAAACACAAGCCCCTCCGTTCTGCACCCCCATGACCCCCCAAAACCTACTCCGCATCTTGCACCACGATGCACCCCTAAAATTCCCCCCCCCCCCATTAACACACCGCACCATCCCTCCCCCAAACCCCCCTCATCCAGCCCCACACCCACCTTCGGCCCCGCATCCTCCGCGCCGCACCCGTGGGGGGGGGGGGGTTGGGGGGGGGGGGTGCACTGCACTGCGCACGCGGGGGGAGGAGGGATGACGTCACCGGGAAGATGGTCATGACGTTATCCCACCCATTCCCTCCCCCCTCCCCTCGGTTTATCTATTTATTTATGCACGTGCACGCCCATACACATACATTATGCACTCTAGAAACAGAAATGAAATAAAAACAATAAAAAGGAGATAAAGATGAGATTATTCATTAAAAATTAAATTATTTATTAAAGGTCTAAAGAATGTTTTTCTTTTAAAAAAATGGGTTTTTTTTTTAACAAACATGTTTTGGAGCAATGGGGTCATCCCAGGAGCTCCTAAAGGAGCTACAAGACAGCTGGGTGAGTGCTTTGGACAAGGGCCTGTAGGGACAGGCCACTGGGAATGGCTTTAACCTGCCAGAGGGGAGACTGAGATGAGCTCTTAGGCAGAAGCTCTCCCCTGTGAGGGTGCTGAGGCGCTGGCACAGGGTGCCCAGAGAAGCTGTGGCTGCCCCATCCCTGGCAGTGTTCAAGCCCAGGTGAGAGCACAGCAACTGCTCGCCTGTCCCTCCTGTAGTCACCGTGTTTGTCCCCTTCTCCCTTCCCTGGCTCCCAGAAATAACCCAGCAATACCAGGAGCTGCAGGAGCAGACAGCAGTCCCCAGCCAGCACTTGGAGACCAAGGTGAAGAGCCTAGAGGATGAGCTTGGTATGGCCCCCCAGTGCCTGCCCCGTGCCAGTGCCCGGGGAGATGGGAGGTATTTGCCTTGTACTGTCAGCACAGCAGCAGCTAAAGGCAAAGCCCAGCCCTGTTCCCAGTGCATCCCTGACCTTGGGAGATGCTGGCTGGAAAGGGGATGCTGTGATCGCACCCTCTGCCACCCCAGGGAATGAGGGGCATTGGGCAGGAGCTATGCTGCACACTGTCCCCATCCTCCTGTGCATTGGTTGCCTCCTGTGCTCACGTGCTCAGTATCCCCTGCCTCTGTCCCCACACTCCACAACCACCCAGGTAAACCTGGATCTCGCGCTGGCCAAGATGGCAAAGACCAGCCAGCATTGGAAAGAAGTACGAATGACCATCGCCATGGAGCACAAGGAACACCTACAGGAGTTCAGCCTCAAGCCCTTAGAGATTATAGCACCCTGGAGCTCCTGAGATGGGACCAGGCTCTCAGTCCCTACCTCCCTATCAGCACACTTGGAGAGCTTTCCAAATCCACTGTTCAGTGCTCCAGCAGCCCTGGGCTAGGTAAGAGCAGACAGCTCCTGTCTGGCCCTGGGATGCACTGCTGAGTCACAGTCCTCTCCATAACATTATTCACATGAACAGCAGTGTGGATTTGCCCTTTAATCACATCCCAAACAAGTGATGCAGGAGCAGTGCTGTGATGGGCAGTGGACACTCATTGCCCACTGGTTCCCAGGAAGGATGAGAGAAGGAGCACAAGAGAGACATCCATGCAGAGACAAACCTGAGCCAACAGGCTGAGAAGTGGGGGATTCCTCCAGCACCCCATTGGCCTTTGCTGCTCCATTTCCCCTTCAAACAGTGGACCGAAGGCCAGCCCTGGGCTGAGTCAAGCCTCAGGATCCCTAGTCCACTGAGTCATGGCATGGAGGACAGTTCTTCGGCTCTCCTTGGAGCTCTCAGAGCCTGGAGCTGGGCAAAGCCTTCAGTGCAATGTCCCTAGATATCCTTGGAAGCAGCTGGGCAGGCAAAATCTGTCTTCAGGTTACAAAGAGACACAGTTAATAAAAGCTTAGAGCCAGCCTCAGTCAGTGGAGATGTGTTTCTGGAGGGGTGATGCTGCAAGCCCCACTGCAGGCATGGAGACACAGCAGCTCTATGTGCAATGGCCATGATGAGCAGCATTGTGCTCTTTGGGGAGCCAGGAGAGACGCACCGATGGGCTGGATGAGGTGCTGTGCTGGGGAGCCTGGCCAGAGGCAGGGTGCTCCTGGGTCACTAGAACGCCTGCTGCAGCCTCCTCTGCTCCTCCTGGGATGGGCTCTGTGGGGACACGGTGGACACACCGTGAGCAGCACATCCATCCACCACACCACATTCCACCCTAACCCAATGGGCAGGTTGGAGGGGTCTTTCTGTTCCTGCCAGTGTCATAGGCGCCAGGGAAATATTAGGAGAGGCAGGGCAGGAGAGTACCAGGATTATGAGCAGCAGTGCCACAGGGGCCTGGTAAGAGGGTTTACCTGTGTGAAACCTATACTGTTGGCAGCAGCCACCAGCCAGGAGCCAGGTCCCTTTGGTCCCACCTCAACGTGACAGAGTCCAGGGGAGGCACTGGGAGAGGGCAGGGAGGATGTATGGGAGCCCGAGGCAGGGTCATTGTCCTCAAAGGAAAGCAGAGGGGACAGCCCCATCTGGAAGAGTAGAAGAGGGATAACATAAAGTTCTCGGTGTTCCATGGCAAGTAAGGTCCCCTGGAGAGGACCTCACTGAGCAGGCCTTGAGGCAAGGCATCCACCCCATCATCCAGCCTCGCAGTACGCCAGTGCTCCCCAAAACCTACCGAGTGGTAGAAGGCATCGGCAGCAGGGTCGATGACCACCAGTGTCACCTGGTCATCACGGGCACGGATCCTGAGCACCGTTTGCTGGTGGTCAAGCCCCTCGATGCTCTCACCATTCACAGCAAGGAGACGGTCCCCTTCCTTCATCCCTGCCTGGTCGGCCGGCAGCCCCACATCCACATCCCACATGAACTGGCCTGCCACAGCAAGACAGAGGAATGGGGGGGAAATGCTCACATAGGCATTCAGCCAGAGGGGAGCCGGTATTGCTGACCCCACATGCAGGTGAGGACAAGGTCCTGCTTCTGGCACAGGGCTTGCAGCTATTCCTGACCCTCAGACATACCTTGTTCAGGTTCAGACTGATGCCCTTACCTGTGGCCCCTGAGCTGCAGTCATCCTCCTTGAGCAGAAACCCATAGCCAGCCGGACCCTTCACCATGTGCAGCTCCCGCACCTTGAAGGGGAGCCAGGAGGTGTCTGCCAAGGCAGCCGTGGCCCGCAGACCACGCAGGCGGTAAAACTCCTCCACGGCACTGGATGCCACCAGCAGCGTCACCTTGCTGCCACTCTGCTTCAGCTGGATGGGAAATGCAGGGCACTCAGTGACACTGGTGGCCCTGGTCCCCCATCACCCGCACTGCGAGCTCCCACCTTCCTGGTGAGCTGCGTGTGTGAATAGTTGCTCACGCTGGCCCCGTTCAGCTCCAGGAGCCAGGAGCCCGGTGGCACCCCTGCTCTCTCTGCTGGCCCATCCTGCTGCACTGACAGCTGGAAGGTGCCCTTCACGCCTGCAGGGAAGAGAAGAGGCAGCCTGGGGCGAGCGGGATGCTGTGTCAGGGAGGACCATGGCATCCCGCTGCTTTACCTTCCGGACCTGACACGCTGAAGCCAAAACCGCTTTTGTCCCGTGTGATGTGGCAGAGGCGCGGGCGGATGTCAGCAGGCAGCATCTGGGACAGGTCCCTGCCTAGGGCCTTGGATGCTTCATAGGAGTCACCATCCAGCACTGCCAGCAGGACCTGGTTCCCACTGGCCTTGATCTTCTGCACCACCTGGAAGGACCCAGGCTGTGATTCCTGGGCAGGGCACCCCTCCAACTGCAGCTTATGGCATCAGGATCCCTGATCAGGGAGGATCAGTGAGCTCCCCCAGCCCTGGGATGCTCCCAGCTTACCCTGTGGTGGTCCATGTGGTCCACGAAGTGGCCATTGACCTGGAGGAGCCGGTCCCCGTCCTGCAGTCCCCTGCGCTGGGCCAGCCCCCCCAGCTCGACCTGGCGGATGACATGGCCCTGGCAGCCCAGCTCCTCGTTGAGGGAGAAGCCAAAGGTCTCCGTGCTGCCCTTGCTCAGGAGGTAGAAGCGGGGCTCACCCACAGCCTCACCATCTGCATGGGGGCACAGCCCGTGAGTGGAGCCCCGTGGAGATCCTAACACAGGCTTTCTACCCTATTCTGGGCTAGGGTCTCCCCAGTCCTGCTGCCAGAGCTCCCTGGCACATGAGAGCTCAGGACCCCAGCAATGCCCTGCTGCCAGAAGCCCATGCTGACATAGGCACACCATGGGGAAGATAAAGGTATTTACCCGTGTCCTCAGTCAGCGACAAGGCAGGGTTGTCTATCCCATCTTTGGGGTTAAATTCAAATGTTCTGAAATGATAAAGGGCAGGCGAGGCCACATTAGCTCAGCAGCACAGCCCTCCCCCTGCCCTGCTGTGGGGAGCCCCATTCCTCCCAGACGGGGCCAGCTGGGGATACAGCTCCTCCTCCTGGGAAAAGCCAGGAGGGGATCTCCCTCTTGGACTGTCCTCCACATCTCTCCTGAGCTAACAGCTCAGGGAAAACCCTCAGCTGAGGATGTGCCCCAGCACAGCCCTGTTGTGGGGCCATGAGCCCCAGGAAGCCTGTGGCCAGGGAGAGCTCAGCACTTACATGATGGACTTCTTGTCACCCTCGAGCCCTGCAGAGGGAGAAGAGAGGTCAGTGCAGGAGGCAGTGGGCTGGGAACAGACCTGAGGATTTACAGGGCTTTTGAGTGAGGTATGAGAAGGGTCAGCAGTGCCTCAGAGAGCTGGCTGGAGTGAGGAGATGGAAACAAACACATTCCCCTCTGCATAGCCCCACAGAACCCCTCCCCACCTCTTCTAGCACAAGGATCCTAAACCCAGGGAGAGGGAATTCCTGCCAACCACTCCCACAGTGTCCATCTGCATGTTCCTGGATGCCTCTAGCAACTTGCCATGGCCTGACTGGGCTCTGACATTGCCTTGCTTGATGCAGAAACAAGGAGAGACCTGCGTGTGAGGAAGCGTCTCTGCAGGATGAAGCCCCACTGCCCCAGTACGTACCTTTTGTTTGCTTCATGGCTGCAGGGAATGCAAGAGGGTGCAAGGTACAGGGTGAAGTGGCAGCAGAGCCAGCGTCCACGCCTCTTACAAGACGCGCCAGGTTTAATGGTTAAACAACCCCAGTGTCTTCCCTGCCCTCCCAGCGCCAGGGCACTGCCAGCCCTCGCCCAGCAGAGCTGGGAGCAGGGACCAGCACCCTAAAACACCAGCTTCCAGCCGCCCCCAAAGGCAGCCCCCAGTGGGGAAGGCCAGCTGGTGTGACATGGAGCAGAAATGGGCTGCCCTGTCCTTGCCTTGTGAGATGGGGTAAAGCCAGAGCCCTCCACTCCAACTGTTGAAGGGACAACTGCACCAGTGGCTCCACGTTCCTCCCCCAGGAAGGGCCCAGAGAGGAGGTCGAGTCATGGCACTGATGTGCTTCAGTGGAAACAAAGCAGCGCACTTTAATGCTACCAAAGGTTTCACAAGCTAACCTGAGTCCTGCCCCTCTGACACACACTGCTGTGGCTCGGGTCTGAGCCAGCACTGGACAGGCGGCAGGGTCTGGATCTCTACAAGCCCCATTTGCTCCTGGCCTGGTGTCTGTACAGCTCTCCCACATTTCAGCCTTGCCCACAGATAAGGGCTGAGCTCCACGTACCCAGCACCTTTGACAGCCTTGGTAGCACCCAACCACTAGGCATCTTCACGTGGATAAGGGTGCAGTGTTTCCTCCCCAGCAGCACTGCTCCCTGCCTGGCTGGGTGGATGGACAGCAGGTTTAGAGGGTCCCGTGCTGCAGCTTCCCCAGCATCTTCTTGACCTCACTCTCAACTCGGAGGAACTTTGCTTTCCTCCAGGGGTTGGCAGTCTGTCTCCGGCTGCTCTCCAGGTCCTGCAGGATGAGGGAAAGGTGCTGCCGGACCCGCTCGCGGTCCCAGAAAGGCAGGTTCTTCTGCACCACGTTCAGGATATTGGACCAGTAGTCAGAGACATCAGTGCCTGCTGTAAGGAAGACCAGCGCCCTGACACCATCCCGGTCCATGCGCAGGCTGTCAAGCGCCCGCTTGCCATCCTCACTGATGTCGTTGAAGTACAGACTGCGGGTTGAGAGGAAAGGAGTGGGAGACACTGTGAGGGCAGGGAGGCAAGACACAGAAGCAGACAGGCTCAGTACCACAGGGAGGGACACTGCGCCAGAGGGAAGGGACAGGGCAGAGTGAACTCACTGCACTTTGTCCAGCGTTGCGTGTTTTTTGGCCACCTCCACCACTTGCAGGGCGGCCGCGTCTGTCAGGGAGTTATAGCCCAGGTTGAGCTCCTGGAGGTGCTGGTTCTTGGCCAAGTGTTGAGCAAGGACCTCAGCACCCCGGTCCCCCAGCGCGGTGTGCAGCAGGGACAAGCGGGTCAGCGAGCGGTTGCCAGCCAGCGCCTCAGCCAGGTACTGTGCCCCCTGCTCACCCACGGGGTTGTTTGTCAGCCTGTGGATACAGGAGCTGAGGGCAATGCCGAGGCCGGGCACATGGTGGGCAGCAGGGACAGTTTCACGCAGGACAGAGGCAGTACTCACCGCAGGCTGCTCACCATACACTTGTCATGCAGGAGCAGGTCACGGATTTCCTTGCAGGCATCAGAGCCCAGGCTGTTGAGCTGTAGACTGATGCAGAGCAAGACAAAGAGGTGGCAGGTCCGCAGTGGCTGTTACCTTTAAAGCTGTCAACCCTTCTCTCTCCATGTCCCCTGGCTCTGCCCATCATTATCCCCAGACAGGGACACGCAAGGCTTCCTCTCCACAAGGGAAACAGGACCAGAGCTTGGGTAGCATCAGCCAGCAGAGCCAGTGCCGGCAGCAGCAGGGGAGGGGAAAGGGGTCCAGGGTCGGCGGCGGTGAGTGAAGGTCTAAGGAGAGATCAGGACCCCATCGAGCCCTCCTGAGCACCCGGGGGAAGGAAGTGCTGCAGATCCCTGCTGCACAGCTCGAGTCCATCTCTGCTGAGCGCAGCCCGCCACCCCCTGGGCGACAGGAAGGCTGCAGTTCCACAAGCGGACTGCAACGGAATCCACCCTTTGGAGCCCACCTTTGGGCTGCCCATCTGCTGCCCAGAGTTAGCGGTAGCAGAGTCAGCTACACGGGGGTGCTAAACAAAGGGTGGGGAGCTGGCATCCCAGCCTGCAGCACTGGATGCAGAGCTGCCCAAAGAGTCCTGACAAAGGGTGTGTTGGGACTGCAAATCCCAGCATGCAGTGTCCTGCTTAAGGAGTGCTGCACATCGGAAGCTGTAGTTCCCTAGGTCTGCACTGAGAAAAAACAAGGGCTTGCATGCTCTTCCCTACCTTCGCCATGTTCAGGCTCCTAGTGTATCCCTGTGATGGGCAGAGATGAAGGAGAGACCCATTTCTGAGCACTGCCCAAGGGCAGAAGGAGGTGGTACTCACTGAAGAGTTTTGCATCGCAGCAGGACAGAGAAGAGGATCCTCAGGCTGCTTGTGTCAAGGTTGCAGGAGCTCAGGTTCAGCTCCTCCACCTCATGGCTTGTGGTGCCCATGACAGATGCCAGGACAGAGCACTTGAGAGGGGTCATCTTGACGGATGAGAGGTTGACAGTCCGGAGGGAGCGGATGGCCTCGGCTGTGAAGCGCTCGTTCTGGAACTCATGCAGGAAGAAGAGGTAGTCCATAAGCTCAGATGGGGGCAGCCCTTTGCGGCTGTTCCTGATGACTGTCTTCTTCATGGCCTTGGCAATCTCAAAGGCTGCCAGGTTCTTAATGGAGCAGCCCAGCTGCTCAAGGATGGCACGGTTACGGCGGGACAGGATCCCACCCATGAAGATGGGGAAGAGCTCAAAGACCTCATCATCAGGAGCCTCATCAGGGTGGCGCATAGGGCCCTCCACACCCAGGATGCTGGAATTGATCTGGTCCAAGACATCATCATTGTAGTAGTCCTCTTCTTTGAACAGCTCCTCTGCCATGGTGTGGGCAATAGTATCCTGGTCCTTCCCGCTCAGCCGGGAGAAGTAGCGAGGGAAGATCTTGAGCAGGTTGAAGAGCACTGGCAGGAAGCGCAAGGGTAGCACCTTGGAGATGATATTCACAACGACAGCCACATCTTCACTCACCTTCCCAGCGACCTCCGACAGCTCCTTCCCCACTCTCTGTGCCAGCGTCTTCTTCTCGCCCAGCACCACATACAGGGCTGCCAGGTACTCCTGCATAGCAGGGATGGTGAACACAAAGGTGTGCTCTTTGCCTGACTGCACACATGGACTGAGGAAGAAGCGGAAGACATCACTGCGGAACACCTCCAGGAGGTTGAGCTCACTTTCAGTCTTCATCTCCACCTCAAAGCACCGCTGCAGATCATCCTCTGAGAAACAGGTCTTGCGGGACATCACCCCTTCATAGGCCAGCTTGCCCACCGTCTTGGCCACGTACTTCATCATGGAGATGTTGGTGGGGTCGGTGCTGTCCAGCACCTCCCCACTGAAGTTGAGCCTCAGGAAGCTGGTGTAGATACCCGTCAGGGTCTGGCTGGGAGGTACCATCTTGGTGAAGTAGAGGAAGTGCAGGGTGGTGCACACCAGCCAGCAGTAAGACGGCAAGAAGCAGGCAGCAGTTATTTGGTTGTGGCGCTCCAAGTTCCTCGACAGCATCTCCACTAAGTTCTCCGGCTCACTTGAGCTGCTACCCACACCATCCCGTACACTGCAGCTGGGCTGGCTGAGGCGCATCTGGAAGTACAGCTTCTGCAGGTTGGTGTCAGAGAAGCCACAGATTTCGGCATAGCGACCCACGTACTTGCCAGGGATCCGGCGCACTGCTGATGGGCGTGTGGTGACGATGATGCTGGCCTGGAAGCAGAGGGCTGGGTGAGTTTGGAGCTGCCCTTTCTCTGGCTTTGATCTAAGCTCAATAGGGTCTCAGGTGTGTAACCCACATATAGGTGTGCAAGGATCATACCACACAGGGCCTGGGGTCAAAGATCTGCTGGCCAAAGAGCATTGGTTCAAATCTGGCCCGGGCAGGAGGGACAGAAGAGCTTTCCCCATCCCCTGCTAGACATGTATTGAGTCTGGAAGATCATAGCCCAACAGACTGCTTTCTTTGCTTTACCAGACCTCCCCTAAGATCCCACAGAGACAAACCAGTAAGCGACACCACTAACAGTGAGCACCTCCAGGAATGGAGACTGCCTCTTCACGCACAGCTAAACTGGACCACAAGCAGTGAGCATAAAGGCCATGCCTGCAGTGCCCCAGGGCTCACCCCCAGCCTTTCTCCAGCAGGAAGCAGCTCGAGAGAGACACTGACCTCTGGCAGGAGGTATTTGCGCAGCAGGTTGACCACAATGGCAGAAGGAGGCACAGGCTCACTGGGGTCACAGCACAGCTCTGTGCCAGCCAGACGGAAGTCCAAGTTGAGCCGCTCCAGGCCATTGAGGATGAAAAGCACGTTGAGGTTGGAAGTGCCCAGGATCGGCACCACGTCCCGGAGGTGCTGATACTTCTTGGTTATGAGGCGCCGCAGGGAGATGGGAGCATGACTATGGGACAGGTCCTCACAGGAGAAGGGGATGAGCAGCTCAAAACGGGGTAGGCGACCATGGCACCAGTCCACCACCATCTTCTTGATGAGGGTGCTCTTCCCTGTGCCCACAGTGCCGTACAGCACCACATTCTTCACCTGCTGCCCGCAGCAGTCCACGTCAAACAGGTTCTGGAGGCTGATAACCTGCCTGCAGGACTGCTGGAGCTGGTTCTGGATGGTTAGGCCAGGCGAGGGCTTCAGGATCTCCTCCAGGGAGCTCTCCCGTATCACTGGGTCCACATGGACTGCATCCACTGAGAAGGAAGGGCCGAACTGCCTCTCTTCATTGGGCTGGTGACTGAACCATGCAGACAGGCTCTTCTGGTGTTTCTTGATGGCATCTGGGAAGAAGAAGGTGCTCGACAAGATAAGAGCTTCTCACTAGCAGGGCACTGGGGATGTTGCCTGCCCCAAGCCACTGCAGTGATATGGCTGTAGAAGGGAGGACAGAACCCAGTTCTTGCTAACCCTCACACTGCCCCCAACCTATCATATAGGACCCTCCATCCCCTGCAGTGCAGGGCTTTGAGCTTACCAGAAGAGGCCACATTCCTTAGATGGGACAGGCGAGAGGTGCTGGGCCGGACTGAGCGCTCCTGGTTCCCTCCCTGGTAGTGAACACAGCCCCTGCAAGAGGAGCAGGAGTGTCATAAGTAGGACAGGGGCAGCAGGTCCAAGCCCTGCCTGGGGCAGGGTGTGCAGA